GGAAGGAAGGAAGGAAGGAAGGAAGGAAGGAAGGAAGGAAGGAAGGAAAGGGAAGGAAGGAAGGAAGGAAGAGGGAAAAAAGGTAGGAAGGAAAGGGATGAAAGTAGGGAGGGAAGTAAGGAGGGAAGGAAGGAAGGGAAGAAAGAGGATGGAGGAAGGAAGGAAGGAAGGGAAGGAAGGAATGGATGGAGATAGGAAGGAAGAGGATGGAGGAATGAAGGAAAGGGAAGGAGGGAATGGATGGAGAGAGGGAGGGAAAGAAGAGGAAGGAGGGAAGGAAGGAAGAAAGGAAGGAAGGAAGGAAGGAAGGAAGGAAGGAAGGAAGGAAGGAAGGAAGGAAGGAAGGAAGGAAGGAAGGAAGGAAGGAAGGAAGGGGAAAAAAAGGAAAGGGAAGGAAGGAAGGAAGAGGGAAAAAAGGAAGGAAGGAAAGTGAGGTAGGGGAGGAAGGAAATAAGGAAGGGAGGGAGTGGATGGAGGAAGGAAAGGAAAGAAAAGGGAAGGAGGAAATGGATGGAGGAAGGAAGAAAGGAAAGGGGGGAAGGAAGGAAGGAAGGAAGGAAGAAGGAGAAGGAAGGAAGTGGATGGAGGAAGGAAAAAAAGGAAGGAAGAAAAGGGATGAAGGTAGGGAGGGAGGGAGGGAAGGAAGGAAGGGAAGAAAGAGGATGGAGGAAGGAAGGAAGGGAAGGAATGGATGGAGATAGGAAGGAAGAGGATGGAGGAATGAAGGAAAGGGAGGGAGGAAGGAAGGAAGGAAGGAAGGAAGGAAGGAAGGAAGGAAGGAAGAGGGAAAAAAAGGAAGAAAGGAAAGTGAGGTAGGGGAGGAAGGAAATAAGGAAGGGAGGGAGTGGATGGAGGAAGGAAAGGAAAGAAAAGGGAGGGAGGAAATGGATGGAGGAAGGAAGAAAGGAAAGGGAGGAAAGAAAGAAAGAAAGAAAAGAAAGAAAGAAAGAAAGAAAGAAAGAAAGAAAGAAAAAAGAAAGAAGAAAGAAAGAAAGAAAGAAAGAAGAAAGAAAGAAAGAAAGAAAGAAAAGAAAGAAAGAAAGAAAGAAAGAGAAGAGAGTGGATGGAGGAAGGAAAAAAAGGAAGGAAGAAAAGGGATGAAGGTAAGGAGGGAAGGAAGGAAGGAAGGAAGGAAGGAAGGGGAAAAAAAGGAAAGGGAAGGAAGGAAGGAAGGAAGAGGGAAAAAAGGAAGGAAGGAAAGTGAGGTAGGGGAGGAAGGAAATAAGGAAGGGAGGGAGTGGATGGAGGAAAAGGAAAGAGAAAGGGAAGGAGGAAATGGATGGAGGAAGGAAGAAAGGAAAGGGGGGGAAGGAAGGAAGGAAGGGAAGAAGGAAGGAAGGGGAAGTGGGATGGAGGAAGGAAAAAAAGGAAGGAAGAAAAGGGATGAAGGTAGGGAGGGAGGGAGGGAAGGAAGGAAGGGAAGAAAGAGGATGGAGGAAGGAAGGAGGGGAAGGAATGGATGGAGATAGGAAGGAAGAGGATGGAGGAATGAAGGAAAGGGAGGGAGGAAGGAAGGAAGGAAGGAAGGAAGGAAGAGGGAAAAAAGGAAGGAAGGAAAGTGAGGTAGGGGAGGAAGGAAATAAGGAAGGGAGGGAGTGGATGGAGGAAGGAAAGGAAAGAAAAGGGAGGGAGGAAATGGATGGAGGAAGGAAGAAAGGAAAGGGAGGAAAGAAAGAAAGAAAGAAAGAAAAGAAAGAAAGAAAGAAAGAAAGAAGAGAAAAGAAGAAAGAAAGAAAGAAAGAAAGAAAGAAGAAGTGGATGGAGGAAGGAAAAAAAGGAAGGAAGAAAAGGGATGAAGGTAAGGAGGGAAGGAAGGAAGGAAGGAAGGAAGGAAGGAAGGAAGGAAGGAAGGAAGGAAGGGAAGAAAGAGGATGGAGGAAGGAAAAAAAAGGAAGGAAGAAAAGGGATGAAGGTAGGGAGGGAAGGAAGGAGGGAAGGAAGGAAGGGAATAAAGAGGATGGAGGAAGGAAGGAAGGGAAGGAATGGATGGAGGAAGGAAGGAAGGGAAGGAAGAGGATGGAGGAATGAAGGAAAGAGAGGGAGGGAATGAATGGAGGAAGGAAGGGGAGGGAAGGGAAGGAAGGAAGGAAGGCGAAGGAAAGAAGGCGAGGGAAGGAAGGGGAGGGAAGGGAAGGAATAAAGGGGATGGGAAAGGGAAAGGAAAGGGCCAGAAAGGAAAGGAACTCACATGGATCCCGGCTTACTGGCACATTCAGAAACATCACACAGCTGCTTCTATTCTGGTATTTTATACACTATTCTTTTCAAATTTGAAATGATTCTATTCGAAATTAAAATTTCCAAAGACAGTTATATTCTTTCTATTTTATTCTATTCTATAGTTTTTCTATTCTATTCCTTCTTCCATGGTATGTTGGTTGCTCTCTTCTTGTTCCAGCTTTCGTAATTGGGGACAGATTTAAACCTTGGGGTTCCCAGGGGCATTTCAGGTTCAGGGGAGCCTTCATACATAGAGTTGGTTTACATGCTCAATGACAGTCACACTTTTTCAAAATACATGATACAATGTCATTCTGAGGTCAAGTGTACATACACATGTTGTTATATGCTACCTTCCTTAAGGCTAGATTCACACCTATGCAGTTTGTTTGATCTGTTTCTGCAGTGCTTTTTGCATGCGTTTTGCTTTTTTTTGCACATGCGTTTCTAACGCATTTTGACTGCATTTTTTATGCGCTTTTTTAACTTGTTGCTGGGCAGAATAAAATGCAAAAAGCATCAAAAACGCACAACATGCTTTTCTGCAGTGTCTCCATTGAAGTCTATAGAACCAAAAATGCACCGTTTTGCATTTAAAAAAGTCCCTGACCCTTTCCAAAAAAACTCACCGGGTAAAAACGCAGAGATGTGAACCTGTCCCATAGAAAATCATGTTAAATGGATTGCTGTGCATTTCTGCAAAACGCAACAGAAAACACAGAGATGTGAACCTAGACTAAAGCGGAGTTCCAGTGAAAATAAAAAAAAAAAATAACAGTCAGCAGCTAAAAAACTGTAGCTGTTGACTTTTAAAAAAACAGACAGTTACCTGTTCCTTGATCCCGCGGTGTCCTCCCCGCAGCCCGTTTCACCGGCTCCCCTGTGTTTCAAGCGCCGGCATCTTCAATGTGGGCACCCGGCTGTGACAGCTTGTGGCTTCACAGCCGAGTGCCCACTGCGCATGTGAAAGTAGCACTGTGCTTCTCAATGGCCCCGTAGTCTTCTGGGACTTGTCACGTGTCCCAGAAGACTATGGGGAGGGAGGGGTGAGGATAACTTCTGCTTCTGATTACCTAGGTGATCGCAGCAGAAGTAGGAGTGGGTACCTGTCAATTTCGTGTACCCGCTTCCCAAAGGTGCCAATCCTTAACGGGAAGTGGGCGACTAGTCCTTAAAGCGGAACTTCCCCTTTTGGTTGGAGCCCTGCTTTCAGAGTATAAGCACTCTATATGTGGTTCGCTTGAGCTTGCAAAATTAATTTTTGAATATGATACAATATTAATGATACATTTAAATAAAAGAAAGTATTTTTTTTATTATATAATTTATATTATTTATTTGTTATTACTTTATATAACTTTTTAAAATAGTTTTATATTATTTCGTATAGAGGGGGTATCCTTCTGTCAAGGGGACCCAGGGCTGTTGACCCTTTGCCCCCTTATAAATCCAACACCATTCGCGATGGGTGGTGCTGGTGGGCGGTACTGTGGACACTATGGGTGGTCTAATCTGTTAGAACATGACAGCTCTGGCTGTGTGGGCACCTATAGTTGTAGTCAATGCTGTGAAAGAGCATAGGAGGGAGGCTACATTCACACACAATATGAGAGCATGTACATCAAATGTAGCCACCCTTAGGAACGAAGACACAAACACTAGAGATTGTAACAGAATTTTAGAAAAGATACATTGTGGTGCTGGATTTCAAGGAGGCAAAGTGAAAATGTTCTTAAGCTTTTGGATATGATGTTATTCTTTTCAATTTAGAGTTTACTGACACTTTAAATCTCAATAAAAGGTCACACCTGATTTTTTCAGTATTAATATGTGTTACTAAACCCAGGACGCTGCATTTACTATATCTGGTCTCCCACAGTACTCAGAACATGGAAATGCAATTTATTAGTAAATATAAACTGTTAAATACCTTTTCTCATCAGCAGTTAGAGCAGTCTTGTGACTTATATCAGTGTCTGGCTGAGCACTGGTTAAAGCTTGTAGGAAGAGTTTTCATTCTCCTCTGATTTTCCTATGAGGCTGCATAACGATTGACAGTGCTGATTGGCCCTGTACTGATCACCTGCACTCTCCCAAGAAAAAAGAAAACTCTCTATAAATACACACCAGACTGAGCATGTGCAGCTTGCCCCCAAGGCTCTGTTCTATCAGCAGATGGATGAGAGACAGTAGAAGAAGGGCAGGATCATAGAAGTCAGGATCAAACATCCTTTTTACTTAATGCAGAGGATTAACCCCTTAGGTTCCTGACTGATTTTACTGTAGTGGGTTTAGTAACACTTTAACCACTAGCCTACAGGGCACTTATACCCCCTTCCTGCCCAGGCCAATTTCCAGCTTTCAGTGCTGCTGCATTTTGAATGACAATTGTGCGGTCATGCAACACTGTACCTATATGAAATTTTTATCATTTTTTTTGTGACCAATAGAGCTTTATTTTGGTGATATTTAATCACCTCTGGGTTTTTTTATTTTTTCTTAAACAAACCAAAAACCACTTAAAATTTTGAAAAAAATGTTTTTTCTTAGTTTTTGTTATAACATTTTGTAAATAAGTGATTTTTCTCCTTCACTGATGTGCACTGAGGCTGCAGTGATGGGCACTGATAGGCTGCACTGATGGACACTGATAGGGGGCACTGATGAGAAGGCACTGGTAGGTGGCACTGATGGGCAATGACAGGCATCACTGATGGGCACTGAAAGGCAGCACTGATATATGGCACTGATAGGCAGCACTGACTGGCACTGATAGGCGGCACTGGCTGGCACTGTTAGGTGGCACTGATTGACACTGTTAGGCGGCACTGATAGGCGGCACTGACTGGCACTGATAGGCGGCACTGATAGGTGGCACTGATGGGTGACACTGAAAGGCAGCTCAGATGGGCACTGATATGTGGCATTGTGCACTGTGCACTATGTGTAGGCACTGATATGTGGTGGCATTGATGTGGCACTGATGGACACTGACAGGTGGCACTGCTGGGGCTACACTGATCATCAGGGCACACTGATCATCAGTTCTCTGATGATCAGTGTACATGTCCCCTCCGCGGAATGCTGATTACCGGCTCTCCTCTCCCCTCCTCTTGAGCTGTCAGCGTGGCAGCTCGAGAGGAGAGAAATGCTGATAACGGGGCATTTCCCTATTTACATGTGATCAGCTGTGATTGGACACAGCTGATCATATGACCGAGCGGACATCTTCGGCTCTTTCCGTGGTTCGGTGATCCGCTGTGTCTGAGGGACAAAAATCTCTGTTGGCCATCTCTTTCCACAACCTTCTGGATTCCCAGCATGCTCTGCTGTACACTTTCAGTTTCTAAGGACTACATGTAGGCGAGTTGTATATATTATGTTTTGGTAACACTTATGTTTGCGATGTAAAATGTTGCTTGTTTTATCTATGGTTGCCCCTGCTGCCTAAGGAGTTAATGTGATCAGTCATGTGGATCTCCAGTATTCTAGGAGCCCCCTGCCCCAAACCCCCCTCCCCCCCATGTTGAGGGCATGTGGTCTAGTATGGTTTGGGGGGAAGGTGCTCGCTCACCCCCCCCTCCCTTTCTTGTCCTGCCAGGCTGTATGCTCAGGTAAGGGTCTTACGTGGATTTTGTAATGCAGCAAAATACAGTATGGCCTAAATTTATGAAGAAAGATTACGTATTTGCAAAATTCTATAACAGAAACTAAGAAAATTTGATTAAATACCACCAAAAGAAAGCTCTATTTGTGTGAAAACTTATATACATTTTATGTGTGCACAGTGTTGCATGACCGCGCAATTGTCATTCAAAGCGTGACAGCGCTAAAAGCTGAAAATTGACCTGGGCAGGAAGGGGATGAAATTGCCTGGTCGTCAAATGGTTGTAAACGTCAGACATAAAATATGAACAAAGCATATCCTTCCATAGTGTGTACTTGTCTTCATTAAGTGTCATTTCTGTCTGGGCTTCCTTCCTTTACTATGAGTAACTTCTGACAAGTTTTCCTGACACAGAGAGAAAAATAATGCCAGGGGGCGGAATCCCTAGTAGATTGACAGCCTTAGCTCTGTTCCTGTGAGCTGTCTGGAGAAGGGTGTGTCTCTTCCCTCCAATCAACTCTCAGAGCTCTCCTCACTGAGTGCTGCAGAGTGTAATTTCAACTCCCCGCCCCTTTTTTTTCTGAGCTCTCAGACAAGCTGTATAAAGTCAGCACTTTGAATGGATGTAAAGAAGATAATACCGCAGATAAACAGGTACAACTTATGTAGGAGGATTTGTTCATCTCAGTGTATCACCTGAGGCCAGTCACTTCACTGGTCACTTTAACCTTTTTCTCTACAGGTTAGTAAGTTGAGTGCAGGGGCGGACTATTTGGAAACTCGGGCACTGCCCGAGGGCCCGGAGTCAGTAGGGGGCCCCATGAGATGCCCCTGGTACCTTTTTCATAGGCTTTTTAGAGTTTGGGCAAGGACACAGGGGCCCCAGGATTCCCTATTGCCCAAGGGCCCCATGAGTTGTCAGTTCGCCCCTGGTTGGTTGCTGTGGGGTCTACAGTTCCATGTGATTAGGACCCCAACAATATATGTGGCTGGGTCTGCAGTGGCTGAATATAAACCTGCACACAACATACAGTCAAGAAACCAGGACCGCTAACTATAATGGAGCAGATCCCATCACTCATGGACCATCATCACATGGTTGTAATGCAGACCTGTCTCCATGGCTCTGGGTGACACCTGCAGGCAGGAAATCCTCCGTTCAAGACTGATATAGGAAGAATCGTCTGTATCTGCAGATATATGGATAAAACATATGGTGATCCCTCTCTTTCTTCTGATCCCCGGGGTTGTCAGCTAGAACACAAGCTTCCGCCCAATCAGCACTCACCACGTGGGCGGGGCTGTACGGCAGGGCCACGACAAGTCTCGAGTCCCCGCCCCTATCCGGTGACAGGGCAGACACGGCGTGATGTCACAAAGTATGGAGGCGTGTCCCTGTCTCCAAGAGTGCGGATGAGAAAGACTACACGAGGGAAAGGATGCGGCCGCTGTTCATTGTGTGTGTGGCCGCTGTGATGTGCCGGCCGGGCACCGGGACCGAGGCCGCCGTCACCGTCACGTTACCTCCGCAGGGCGGGGAGACGGTGAGCCCGAGTGCCGGCCAGGTGTCCGCCTCTAGCCCGGTATCTCCGGGGGTGGACGCTGTGCTGGCGCTGAGGGCACAACGTCATAACCTGCTTCTCCTATTCCAGAGATATGGAGAGAATAACCAGAGCCTCACCGTGTCCGGCTTCCGGCAGCTGCTCCGCAGTCTGGGGGAGGAGAGGATGAAGAGCATCGCTGTACACAAACATCATCATCACCACCACGATCATCACCATCCTCATCATCATCAGGATCCGCATCATCACCACCACCACCATCATCATCATCGTCACCACCCTCATCCTCCGATCCCCACCACATGTGAGGAGAGGAGGGAGAAGAGACATGTCACCTCTGGGAGCCAGGAGCCTGGAGAGAGCCCAGCACACAGAAACATCACCCTGGGAGCTGAAGTGGAGGTGATCATCCTACTGTTCCATGGATCATCACCCACCAAGGACACTTACACCTTACTCACACCGATCCCACACTGAAGTCGTGACGCTTTTCACGATTTCAAAGTCCGATGTCATCCCAACTTGAGGTGCGACTCGTAAGACACAGGTGTCTATGCAAGTCGCACCTGAAGTCGTGTGTGCACTATGTTAGAAATCGGTGCGGCTCCGACCGAGTCGGAATCGCACCGATGTGCCCGCTTTAATTGCGGACATTAGGGTGCGACTTACCATGCAACTTGCATGACAGATCGCATAGCAAGTCACACGCGGTGTATCCAGGGTGGTAGTGCCCCGTCGTACCGGTGTGATTTGGGAATTGAAATCGCATCTAATGAAAGTGAATGTCAGTGTCCTAACGTGTGATTGGCTGCGGCGCGTTTTCTGAAGTAGTTCTTGCATTACTTTTTCTGCAGTTTTGTTGCGATTTCACACACATAGAATGTAATGGAAATCGCACAGCAAATTGCAAGAAATCATTGGAAATCTGCACAAGTAGTAATAAAGTCTTCAGAAATCGCACTGAAATGGCATGATTTTATATCACGGCGGTGTGACCGGTGACTTAGAAAAACAGTCCAGATGCGTTCCGGATGCGTTTCTGTATGCGCGTTTTTGATGCTTTCCGGTTCTTTTTTTTTTTTTTCCCTTTTTCTTCTTCAATTTAAATGGGGATATGTGCGTTTTTGGTGCATTTTATTATGTTCCAGTTCAGTTCTGTGCAGGAAAAATGCACCCCCTGTTCTACTTTTTTTTTTTTTCCTGGAACGCACTGGAACTGGAGAGAGCCCAGCACACAAAAACATCACCCTGGGAGCTGAAGTGGAGGTGATCGTCCTACTGTTCCTGGAACACACTGGAACTGGAGAGAGCCCAGCACACAGAAAACATCACCCTGGGAGCTGATCACCCTACTCTTCCTGGAACACACTGGAACTGCAAGCGCTGATGTTTTTTTTTTTTCTTCTTCATTGACAACCATATAACCTACTTTCTGTGCGTTTTGGATGCAGAAAAAAAACACACACTGAAACGTATGTACTGTGAACTGGCCCTTAGCCCTGGTTCACACTGATGTGGTGTGGAATTCGCACCAGTTTCTGTGCGATTTCCACAGCGCATCATAATTGCACCTTGTTCATGCGAACTACTGCGGGTGTATATTTTAGGTTTAACAACACCCTGAAATTAGTTTGCAAAACATGGTGTGATGTGTGGAATCGGATCGCATGGGTGTGAACACCCATGTGATTTGGTTCTGGTGCTGAAGAATAAAAGGGTCCTGTACTATTTTTCATATGGATGCTTTGCAATTTGAACCATACAAAATGTAAGGCTCAAATTGCACCGCACAGAAATCGCATGTGATTTGCACAGGAATGCGGTGTGGTTCCTGTGTGAATCACTTGCGATCACTGTGAACCAGGGCTTAGGGCCGGTGCACACAACATGCATTCCAGTGCACTTTTTACAGCATCAGAAGCACATAGAAAGTAGGTTACATGGTAATCAGTGGATTTGTGCACACCAGTTCTTGCAGTCTATTGCATTTCGGTTCCAGAAAAAAAAAGAACATGCTGCATTTTTCCTGCACAGAACTGTACTGGACTGCATCAAAAACTCACCGGACCCCAGTAAAGTGAAAAAAACAGGAAAAATTAAAAAAAAAGTCTGGAACACATCAAAAACCTGTTAAAAAGGTGCATGCAGGAACGCATCCAGAACAGATCTGGATTGTGTTTTTGTGGTGTGAACTGCTCCGTATGATCTGTGTGTTTTTTTTTTTTTTTTTTTTTTTTTGCATTGGTCCAGCATAACTATGACTATTTCATACAAGGAGGACCCCTGACAATCAAGTAGTTGCTGCTACTAATTGCTGCTATTTTGCAGGTCTCCCGCTTGATCAGACTGCCCCACTGTGTACTGACCACAGATCCCTTGCTAAGCATTGCCTCCGTTCATAAAATTCATAGCCCTTTTTCCCCTCCCCATCTTTCAGGACAGCACCCTTGACAGACCTGGGCTCCTCCCCACCTGAGGAAACACCACCTCCACCCAGATTAGTGCGGCCTCCCCACTAGGACCTCAGTAATGGTGTTTCCTCCTGTGGGGAGACATGTTTTGGAAGCCCTTCCAGGGTGGCCAGGGGGCTGTGTTGTGCCTGGAAGACAGGGAGGGCCGTGTGCGGTCTGTGTGCCGTTCCTCCCAAGGTGGGGAGGTAGGCACCTGGTCAGTCCTCTGGGGGCAGAGGGGGGTGTCCCTTACCTCCTGTTGCCCTGCCCCCACCTGTGGAGGAGTGCTGGGCGCCTGCATTTAGCCCATCCAGGGGGACCCAGAGGAGAGGTACCGCCCCATCATGATTGATGCTTGCGGTGAAGCTTTGCCGGGCTGGATGAGGGGGGATGTCATTTTCAGTTGAGGAGCAGAACTTCCTCCTGGGACGTGGCTTCCGGCCTCAGTTCCTGTGAAGTGTGGAATGGAGTTGGGCTGATGCAGGGAGCTGCATCCTGACAGGAAGGCCACGTGGACCCCGGGACAGACCACCACTACGAGCCATGTCCGGAGCGAAGGGACCAGGTGATGCTGGCACAAGCTAGTCTCGGGTAGGTGACTCAGAGGAGCCTCTTCCCCTAACTGTTAGGCCCCTAGCTCCAGGGGGTGTCCTCAGCCCTCCTGGTGGTCAGAGGGGCAGGGGGTGGGGGGGTCTCAGCTTAGGAGTTTCCCATGCCCTGCCAAGTGCTGCACGGAAAGTATGCAAGGGGGGGGGGGGGGGAGCAGGATGGCTATGGTGTAATGGGCAGCCTGTTTTTGTGCTGTTTTTAGATGCAAACCAGAGAGAAGCCTAAACCACACTGGGGCTAAAAAGAAGTGCGCTTTATGCAGGGTGACACTCAAAGACTCCTGGACTCACATGCAGGTTCTCTCGGGCAACTCCTCAGTCATGGCGTATCTTGTGGTCCCTTGCCTTGGAACTGCTCACCTGTGCCGAGGCCAGTGTAGCCTCCCTATCCACCGTCCACCTGAATGGGGATTCAAACCAGGTGGCAGACTATCTTAGCAGAAGGCAGCTGAGGGAATCCGAGTGGGTGCTCAGTTGGCAGATTTACCAGATCATTGGGAAGTGGGGGTCTTCGTCACAGACCTTTTTGCGTCGGGCCAGAATGCCAAGGTCCTGGTATTTTACTCCTTAAACCGTTGGGACGGGTGTAACAAATGTACAGATTTGAGTAGCTGAAATGTGACCTTTAGCAATATGTAATCGTAAATGTAGTTTAATTCCTTGTCATTAAAGAAATATTCAGCCATAGGTATTCAGAGACAGATGGTCACCCATTAGCATCAGAAAAGAGAGCTTCCTCAGGCTGGAAGTGACACCTGGGTGCTAATAAGATTTGTCACCTTCTGGGAAACCTGGAAGGAAAAGACTGGAGACAGGTTGGCTTCATGACACAGCGGGAGACCAGAGCTTTGACGTATATCAGGAGATCAAAGGAATAGGCTTCATCTCTCATAAAAGCTAAAATATTAGTTGCAGAGAGATGAAAATACTCCTTCTGATTGGGCACTCTGTGGGCTACATCAGTATGTAAAAACTGTATTTGTGGACTATGTAGAATGCCAGAAAAATGCAGGAAATGGTTGTGTCGCTGGATCGCGATAGCTGAACAGTGATTGGTATTGTCGCGATCGGACTGATGCGTTGGTGTTGGAAATTCAATCCCTGACTTAGTGATTCAAGCCGGTCCTAGTCCAATTGACTTTGGGCAGTTCAGCACCCAGAACATCCTGTGGGCAGGTACAGGAACACATCCCCCCCCAGAGTCAAAACAGCACCGGCCGATTTTCGTGGTTCCTCCCCATTTTGTTTATCGGGCATGTTGGAAAATGAGTGATAAACAACCAATTTTTTTTTGGGAGTTCCACCTATGGATGGCCTGCTTTAGAGAAAAAGTTTTATATATAAATGTTTTTTTTTGCCAACTGTGTCACTCAAAGCAAGAAGTGGGAGGCAATCCCTCCAAAGTGAGTTGTCATCGTAACTAGTGTCCCCTTTAGATTTCCCCTCTGTTCCTGTTCTGGTGGCAACAAAATTGTGGATTTCCTTTTTCCACATCTCAAGTGCTTGCTTTTACCATGTGAACAAGCTTATACAGTTATATTTTCAGGACAAGCTTTTGGGGTGTACCTCCTTTCAAGTCTGAATAGTACTGCTTAGATTTTAGAAGGGGGTAAACCCCAAAAGCTTTTGCCAGAATTCCTTAAAATCGTTTGTTAGAACATTCTTTCTTACCATTGTTGTCAACTAATTTCATAAAGTGGTTGTAAAGGCTGAAGGCTTACCTTCATGCATTCTATTCTAATCCGTGTGCAGCTCCCCCTAATACCTACCTGAGCCCGATCTCAATCCAGTGATGTGCACCAGAGCAGCTCTCCTTGGTCTCTCTACCCTCATTGGCTGAGACACAGCAGGGGGAGCCATTGGCTCCCACTGCTGCCAATCACAGCCAGTGAGCAAGGGGTGGGCTGAGCCATGCTCTGTCGGCTCGGAAGCAAGCAGCAAGTGCCACAGAGCAGGTAAGTATGCCGTGTTTATTATAAGCAATCTTTATAACCACTTTACAGTTTCATCCAGACTTGCTGTTTGAGTGGAATTCCAGCTTGCATTATCTGTTGTGTTTTCTTTTTTTTTTTTTTTTTTTTTTTTGTCCCTGAACGAAAACCATGATCACTTAATTTTGTTCAATCTGAGAAACCTTTTTAATCCTGCTCCTTCAAATCTTGATTTTTGTTGAAAACGAAAGTCAATTTGATCCCAGGCCGTTGGCAGATGAAAAATGTAAAAAAATTCTGTGGGTGTATGGCCGGCTTTATAGCCTGTTCACACACATGCATTGCAGTAGCACATCATATGCATTAGTGTATTATGGTGACCTTCATTTTGTAATGAATGAATCTCAGCACACCACATCAGATATGCAGTGTTTTAGAAGATGCATTGCAGCTTGTTCATTTTGAGGCATACTGCTTCTCAGTATGGTATGAATGGGTTCCTAAAGTTTGTGTATCCCAACACTTTATTTTGTTTTTATTTTGTTTTAGTTTTGTATGGAGTAGAGATGGTTCAACACTTCTGGTCCTATTTCACTTGTCTAGTGACAGAACAGCTGTCTTCATTTAAATGTTTAGGCTCCATTCACACTTCTGAATGCGGCCTTTAGGGACTACACATGGGAGTTTCCATCGATTAGCTGCAGTTGGCAGCCTTGTTGAAAGTAAGAGAGCTGACCGCTCCCGCAGCTAATCACAGCTACTTTAAGTGATCACTCATTTAGTCCCCGGTCACACTGGATGCGAATTGGCGTGCGATTTGAAAATCGCATGCCAAGTTGCACCCTATTGTCTGCAATTTACATTGGTCATGTCTGTGCGGTTCCAATTTGGTCGGAGCCTAACTGATTTCTAAAGTAGCACATGCACTACTTTTGGTGCGATTTGCATAGACATCTGTGTCAGATGTCTTGCAAATCTCACCTGAAATTGGCATGTCATCCGACTTTGAGATCGTGTGACTTCACTGTAAGTCGCACGATTTCAAAGTTGACTTTGGTGTGATCGGGGTGTTAGTCTGTATCCAGGACCGTTCACCACAGGTAATCTGTCCATAAGCAACTGTGATTAGCTGTGGGATTTTCAACCTCCTATTGCTTTCAATGGGGCCTATTGCCTTCAGCTAATTGCCAGTGTCTCCCAGCTGTGAACAGGGCATTACCCTCTCTTTTTTTTGTTTTGGTAAAAACTGTAAAATTTGGGATTTTCCATCACTTGCTGTCTTAGCGATACTTGTAACAAGGACAACTAGCCACTTGAAGACCTGCTAATATGTGTATATATACGTTGCAAGTTTGAAATGGTCTACCAGGGCAATGCAGCTCTCACCCCATGTAAAGTGCATCAAGAAAGAATTCACAGCGCTTAACTTTTGCCACATTTTGTTATGTTACAGCCTTATTCCAAAATGGATTAAATTTAATTGTTTTTCCTCTACATGCTACAAACAAATACCCCATAATGCCAATGTGAAAGAAGTTCGTTTTGAAATCTTTGCAATTTGTTAAAATTTAAAAAACACATGTACATAAGTATTCACAGCCTTTGCTGAATACTTTGTTGAAGCGCCTTTAGCAACAATTACAGCCTCAAGTCATTGAGTATGATTCTACAAGCTTGGCACACCTATTTTTGGGCAATTTCTCCCATTCTTCTTTGCAGTACACCTAAAGCTCCATCAGGTTGGATGGGCAGCGTCAGTGCACAGCCATTTTCAGATCTCTCCAGAGATGTTCAATCGGGTTCAAGTCTGGGCTCTGGCTGGGCCACTCCAGGACATTCACAGAGTTGGCCCATAGCCACTCCTTTGATATGTGGGCTGTGTGCTTAGGATTGTTGTCCTGTTGAAAGATGAACCGTCGCCCCAGTGTAAGGTCCAGAGTGCTCTGGAACAGGTTTTCATCATGGATGTCTCTGTACATTACATTCGATCATGACTAGTCTCCCAGTTCCTGCCGCTGAAAAAACATCCCCACAGTATGATGCTGCCACCAACATGCTTCACTGTAGGGATGGGATTGGCCAGGTGGTGAGCGTTGCCTGGTTTCCTCCAGACATGACGCTTGGCATTCAGGCCAAAGAGTTCAATCTTTGTTTCATCAGAACAGAGTTTTGTTTCTCATGGTCTGAGAGTCCCTCAGGTGCCTTTTTGGCAAACTCCAGGCAGACTGCAATTTGCCTTTTACTGAGGAGTGGCTTCCATCTGGCCACTCTACCATACAGGCCTGGATTGGTGGAGTGCTGCAGACATGGTTGTTCTTCTGGAAGGTTCTCCTCTCTCCACAGAGAAACGCTGGAGCTCTTTCAGAGTGACCATTGAGTGCTTTGTTACCTCCCTGGGTAAGGCCCTTCTCCTTCGACAGCTCATTTTGGCCGGCGGCCTGCTCTAATATTCCTGGTGGTTCCAAACTTCCATTTACAGATGATGGAGGCCACTGTGCTCATTGGGACCTTCAATGCTGCAGACATTTTTCTGTACCTTTTTCCTAAGATCTGTGCCTTGATAAAATCCTGTCTCGGAGGTCTACAGACCATTCCTTGGTCTTCATGGCTTGGTTTGTGCTCTGACATGCACTGTTAACTGTGAGACCTTATATAGACAGGTTTATGCCTTTCCTAATCATGTCCAATCAACTGAAGTTCCCACAGGTGTACTCCAATCAAGTTGTGGAAACATCTCAAGGATGATTAGTGGGAACAGGATGCACCAGAGCTCAATTCTGAGTGTCATGGCAAAGGCTGTAAATACTTGTGTGTGGTGTTTTTTTATTTTTCAAAAAATTACAAAGATTTCAAAACTAACTTCTTTCACGTTGTCATTATGGGGTATTGTTTGTAGAATGTTGAGTAAAAAATGAATTTAATCCATTTTGGAATAAGGCTGTAACATAAAATGTGACAAAAGTTAAGCGCTGTGAATACTTTCTGGATGCACTGTATGTGCAATGAACAGGGGTGGACTGACCATTTGGAAATTAGGGCACTGCCCGGGGTCAGTAGGGGGCTCCATGAGTTGTCAGTCCACCCCTGGCAATGAATCTCCTTGCTTCCTGGAATACATTGCAATTGAATTGAAATCTCCACCTGGGACACCCAGTGCATGCCTGCAGTTGTATTGAGGCAAGAATGCTCCTCCAGATCTGAACTTTGCACAATCTTTCAGGATGCGTTCTAATGGTGTCCAATATACAAACCTCTCACATCACTTCAGAGACTTTCAGCGTGCTCAGCTACATTCCCTCATTTCCAGGGAGACTTAGTTTCTTGAACCGGTCTGCATTTGATCCTTTGATCTGTTCCGTGAACGTTTCTCCATATTCACTTTTTTGCTGCCTTTTTTAAAGCTATATCGGAGAGAGTGTGTGTATGTATGTGTGTGTGTGTATATATGTATATATATATATATATATATATATATATATATATATATATATATATATATATATATATATATATATATATATTACACATACATACACACAGTTTTTTTTTTTTAGTTTTCTTCACCTTTCTTTTATATGAATTAGAAATGGTATTCCAGTTCCCATATGATTACAGCTATGTAAATTCACTTTGAATTGAATGTAATTTGTCTTTTCTTCTTGTAGTGTTTAAATGCCTCACGTCTGCTGACATTGCATGGAATGGACATGCAGATGATGCTTGATGTAGATGAGTTTAGATACATCTGCCCAGCTATTATTAATCAAATCGACAGAAAGTCCTGCTTAATTAATGCTCCTGAGGAAGCTGCTGATGAAGCTATGGCTGAAAGTAGCCATGGTGTATATTCTGTGAAAGTAGGTAAGTAGCTGGAGAAAATGGTAAGAAAAAGGCCACTGTGATCAACTTGCTTCATTATCTTAAAGAAAACTCTCAGGAATGTATACACTTTTACAAATGTGTTGGCTTTATAAGAGGATACATCCAAAAAGGGAAATGCCACCTCGTGGACTTATCCCTTTTAACTTTTCATTTTGAGCACTGTGGGGAGTTATTGCAACATTCCCATCACTCTGACAGTAGATGCAGTTGTGCTACACTGCAGCCTCTCTGCCTGCCCCTTGGCTGTCCATTCACAGCATACTTTGTATTTTGCAAATGAGTTTACAAAATACAAAGTGCTCCATGACTGGATAGAAAGAGAGAAGGGGCAGGCAGAGTGGCTGCAAATGACTCTGCAGCTGCAGGATTGGAAACCTGAAGACCCAGAAACATAACTGTACCTCTGGCACTCTGTAAAAGTGTACATTGTACACAAGAGGTAAGTCCATGAGGTGGCATACACCTCACTGGACTTAACCCCTTAAAAGCCAGCCCATGAATACTGTAAGTGCATATATTCCTGGCATTCCTCTTTAACATTTTAATCTGCAGCATCTTTTTTCTGTAATAAAAAGCACTGGTTTATAACCTCTTTCATTTAAAGTATAACTAAAGGTAATTTTTTTTTCAATCTGGTGGTGAGGGGTTGGGACAACTGTGAGGTTATCTCTGTTTGTGTTCCTGTTAGGGAGATTTAACATACTGCTCTGATCACCAAAGTCACCAGGAATAGAATTGAATGTAGATCCAAAATTGTGAGGTGTTACCAGAACAGGAATATAGGGGAAAACTTCAGATGTCTTCCTCACATTGGAAAGAGATCCTCTCACTTCCTGTTGAATCTATAGGACAGGAAATGCAAGGTAACTTCCCTAATGAAATATTGATGGCAAAAAAACTGACAGCAGTTGTATACCTTTCCTATTATCCAAAATGAAGAAAAAAAGTTTTGGCTTCAGATTTTTTTTTTTAAAGGCTAACTCCACCTTTTAGACCTTGTTACATGTGAACACCCGTATTTGGGATGTGGTTCCAAGCAGTCCCCTACAACCACAAAATGCGCCCCCCCCCCCCCCCCTTACAGCATGCTGGGGTTCTTCTCCCCACAGCAGCTGTCATATTAGAAATGATTGTGGCTGTTCATGGCTCCACCTACACAGCTTTATCATTAATTTATAGAGCTCTATGAGTAAACTAAGTCCCTTCTGCCACTGCAGCAGATGGTATTGTAGTTCTTAATGGAACACAGATGTGGCGATCACTGCACTCCTATTTCATTGAAACTTCTTCCAACTCTCTACTATAAAGTCTGCATGGACATAAAACTGGAGGAAGAATCTGCAGGAGCCTGACATTGCCATGATTTGCAGGCTTATTTTGCAGAAATAATAAATGCACATTTGTTGCTGAAAATATGGATGTATTTAATACTTTAATTTTTTTTTTTATAAGGCGGACGTGGCCTTTAAACCTCCTGTCCTTACCTGTATAACGTTACCTTTTTTGAATTGCTGTCCTACTGCTCCATTCAGTGTTGGAGCTAACAGAAATACCAGTTGTTTTTTTTTGTTTTGTTTTGTTTTTTTTTCGGGTTCAAATGAGTATGTGACTTGCTCCAAGTGACAGTGCTTGGCCAATTGGTGTTGTCACATGGGGAAATCTGTAGTCTGTGAAAAATTAGGTACTCATAACTTAAAGGATAAGTTTACCTTTGGGAACGTGTTTTTAGAGGGGAACATGTAACATGTTCCCATAGCTGCAGCTGCCGGACGCCACCCCCCTTTAAGTTATGTGAAGTGCCGTAGTAGTTCTTTCAAGCTTCTTGTCTGGTCTGCAGGAGATCTGCATGGCATCATTGATCTACTGATCGCTGGTGCAATGCTTTCCAGGCTCCTATAGAGAAAAATAATAAATGCACATTTTTTTTTTTTAACTGCAAAAAAATGTGCATTTATTATTTTTGTCTAAAAGGTGAACTTCTCCTTTTTAAATGGTGCTTTCTGCAGTGGTATAAAAGAAGATGCATAGGGTGTCTACTTTAAAGGGTAATCATTTATGCCTTGTGAAACTGAGGTCCCCGATTTGAATCCCCACGATCTGCTTGGTCTTTTCATGTTCTCCTGTGTGGGTTTCCTGCCAGCCTAATTTCTCCTGTCCAAATTGACCCATGTGCATGTATGCATGTGAAACCTGAATGTACAATATGTATAGCACTGCATAAATGTTTGGCACTGTATAAATGTGTAATAAATATTTTGTAGAAAATAAAACCTAAATAAATGAAATTATTATTATTATTATTATACAGGATTTATATAGCGCCAACAGTTTGTGCAGCTCTTTACAAGACAGTACAATTACAATGCATTTCAGTACAGAAGGAATGTGAGGGCCCTGCTCATGGAGCTTACAATCTAAAGAAAGGGGGAGGTGATACAAAAGGTGATAACTGAGGGGGATGATCAGGTGGAGGTGATTCAAGTACAGTTCTTAGGTGGAGGTGGGGTAGGATTCCCTGAAGCAGCGAGTTTTCAAAGATCGCCTAAAGGCAGGCAGGGTGGGTGCTGACCGGACATGCTGTGGTAGGAAGTTCCAGAGGATGGGATAGGCTCTTGTGAAGTCCTGGAGGCGAGCATGGGAGGAGGCGATGAGGGAGCTAGAGTGGAAGATATCTTGGAAGGAGCAGAGTGGGCAATTTTGGGCGGTATCTGCGGATGAGGTTGGCTGTGTAGCTAGAGGTAGTGTTGTGGATGGCTTTGTAAGCTGTGGTTAGTATTTTTAATTTTATATGTTGGGTTAGTGGAAGCCAGTGAAGGGATTGGCAGAGAGGGGTAGCAGTCATGGCAAAGCACATGTTCACTTTAAGCTGTAGTAATTGGTGACTTTAAACTTAGTGTTACTAAACCCACAACAGTAAAATCCGTCTGTATATGCAGTCAGTCATGCTTGTTATACTCACTGTGGAACCTGAGGGGTTAATCCTCTGCATTGTGTAAAAAGGCTCTTTGATCCTGGCTTCTCTGGTCCTCCCCTTCTCCCATTGTCCCTGTCTCCTTTTCTGATAAGTCTTTGGAGTCACTCTGCACATGCTCAGTTTAGTGTGTATGTGCTAGAGTTTTTTTCTATTGGGAGAGTGCATGTGATCAGCACAGGGTCAATCAGCACTGTTTAAACAGAGGGTCAGGGGTTATGTAGCCTTATAGGGCAGTCATAGGACAATGAGAACTCTCCTTACAAGCTTTAACCAGTGCTCAGCTGGACATTGATAGAAGTCACAAGACTGCTCCAACTGCTAATGAGAAAAGGTATTTTTGCAGTTTATATTTACTAAAACAATTGCATTTCCATGTTCTGTGTACTGTGGAAGACCAGATATAGTAAATGCAGGGTCCTAGGTTTAGTAACACTTTAAATGTGTGATTTTTGTTTCACAATTCGTGCATCTTTAAGCCTGGTAATCTATTTCTTCTTTTTTTTTTTTTTTTTTCCCACAGCATGGGTCGGTGGCTTTATATCAATTACTGTTATAAGTGTGTTGTCATTGCTGGGAATCATACTGGTTCCTCTGATGAATAAAGTGTTCTTCAAATTTTTGCTCAGTTTCCTGGTGGCGTTGGCAGTTGGCACTTTAAGTGGGGATGCATTTTTACATCTACTTCCTCATGTAAGTAGTTAAACCATTGTTAAATCTCATTTTGTGTGTGAAATGACTATATGTTAACTGCAAGTGGTGTACAGGCTTTAGGGGTTTTTTTAGGGTTTTTTCACACTACCATTACAAGAACACTCTCTGGGTGGAGATTTGCTCTTTTATTTATTTATTTTTTGTTCTAATTCTTCAGAGTGACATTTCATTAATTCCTATGTACGACAGCTCAGCTGCAGTGCATAGAAATACAAGGACAAACAGTGAGCTCCAATGTGAAAAAATGCACACACAACACAGACTTTCTAGTGCAGAAAACACTGGTCTCCAAATAAATGTGAACAATCTCTTAATGTTTTGCAATTAATAATACATTGTTCACTAGCTGCCCAAGATAAAGCTACAGAGCTCATTATAGCTTTCCAGGCCCCTGCTAGGAATTGAGCTTGTGATCTCAGTGCAGCAAGGCATTTGACGCTGACATTTGTCTTTAGCAGTAGAGGTTTTGGCAATCATTTTAAGATTGGAAAAACAAAATGAACAGTAGCTATTAGTTACAAATGATGATCAGGGTCGGACTGACCATTTGGAAACTCAGGCACTGCCCGGGGTCAGTAGGGGGCCCCATGAGATGCCCCTGGTACCTTTTTTTTGTTTTGTTTTGGGTTTTTTTTTCGTAGGCTTTTTGAGTTTGGGCAAGGACAGAGGGGCCCCATGATCCCCTATTGCCCGGGGGCCCCATGAGTTGTCAGTCCGCCCCTGATGATGCAGCTATTTTTAACCATGATTAAAGGATAAGTTCACCTTTTGGACAAAAATAATAATGTGCATTTTTTTATTATTTTTGTCCAAAGGAGCCTGTAAAGCATTGCACCAGCGATCAGTAGTTCGCTGATGCCATGCAGGTCTCCTGCAGACCTGTCAGACTATCTCCTAGCCGTATGGGATGTACGGCCAAGCAAATATTCTGACAGGAAGCTTGAATGCACTACCTCGGCTCTCCACAGCGCTGTGGCAGTTCATTGAAAAACTACAAGCCGACAGCTTCTAAGGCTGTTGGCACTTGCAGTTCATTAATTCACAGAAGTCCGTGAATGAATGATGCCGCCATGTAGGCAGAGCCGCGCACAGCCACGCTGTTTTCAAATTTGACAGTATTTTTCACTTTCAATACATTTCTATTGAAACCTGTAAGGTGCAGAACATGGTGTAAATAAAACTTTTTGAACTGGCCTAGAAGATGTTAGACAGCAGGAACTTGGCTGCCAAGAATGTAAAAAACCTCCAACAGTATAAATAGCTCATTAATAAACAACATTCAGCTTTTACAGGTGGAGGCCACTGACATTTTTTTTTCCCTACTCATCTTTTCCAATTGTTTTTCACTAGTTTTGCATTTGGCTAGGATCAGTGCCACTACTGGTAGCATGAGGCAATACCTGGACCCTACAGAGGTTGCACAGGCAGTCCAACTCCTCCAGGATGGCTCCTCAATACATGCCATTGCCAGAAGGTTTGCTGTGTCTCCCAGCACAGTCTCAAGAGGTATGGAGGAGATTCTAGGAGACAAGCAGTTACTCTAGGAGAGCTGGACAGGACCGTAGAAGGTCCTTAACCCATCAGCAGGATCAGTGCAAAGAGTAACGGGATGAGCACTGCCAGAGCCCTACACAATTACCTCCAGCAGGCCACTGGTGTGAATGTCTCTGACCAAACAGTCAGAAACAGACTTCAGGAGGGTGGCCTGAGGGTCTTCTAGGGGGCCCTGTGCTCACTGCCCGGCACCATAGAGCTCGATTGGCATTTGCCATTGAACACCAGAAATGGCAGGTCAGCCACTGGCGCCCTGTGCTTTTCAGATGAGAGAAGGTACACCCTGAGCACATGTGACAGATGTGAAAGGGTCTGGAGAAGCCGTAGAATGTTATGCTGCCTGTAACCTCTTTCAGCATCACTGTTTTGGTGATGGTCTGGGAGGCATATCCATGGAAGAATGCACAGACCTCTACTGGCTAGACAGTGGCACCCTGACTGCCATTGGGTATCGGGATGAAATCCTTGGACCCTTTGTCAGACCCTACACTGGTGCAGTGGGTCCTGGGTTCCTCCTGGTGCACAACAAAGCCCGGCCTCGTGGTGAGAGTATGCAGGCGGTTCCTGGAGGATGAAGGAACTGATACCATTGAATAGGCCCCACGCTCGCCTGACCTAAATACAATAGAACACCTCTGGGATATCACATTTCGGTCCTTCCGATGCTGCCAGGTTGCACCTCAGACTGTCCAGGAGCTCAGTGATGCCCTGGTCCAGAGTTGTTTTTTTTTTTTTTCCCTTCGACTATTTTGCAGATAATAAAAAAAAAAAACGGTGATTAAGTAGCACCAAAATAAAGCTCCATCTCTGCGAAAAAAAAATTATAAAAGTTTTTTGTTGAGGTGCAGTGTAGCATGACTAAGTAATTGTCAAAGTGCGAGAGTACCGAAAGCTGAAAATTGGTCTGGGCAGGAAGGGGGTAAAAGTGGCTTGTATTGAAGTGGTTAATATGCAATGTCTGAATAGGCTTGTAAAGTCACTTTAATTGTTGTGGATCATTGTCAAAGATTACTGTCCCATAGTACAGTCACTCTCTTGTGTACTTCCTGGGCTGTTATGCAATTCGGTTTCTTGATCATGTGTTTAGTGTTTGGTTTCTGCTTGTTTCTATGTGGCTAAGCTTTTTTTTGGCATCTTGTAAAATGTATTGGGCAATGTCTCCATTCAGTTGTGGTGTTTTTTTTTTTTTTTTTTTTTTTTTTTTTAAACTATCACCATTTTTATTTATTTTTTTTGAGTAACATTTTGGTATTGCTATGGGAAATGGGGAGATTTTATGGGTACCGACCAAAACAAAAAAAAGTTAGGCCCTTTGCAGACTCCACTTTGATCAGTATGGGATCTGGACACTGATCAGAGCAGGCAGATGAGAGTACTTTGTCCACTCAGTTTATGGAGAGCGAACACGCATAGAGTCTGTTCTGCTCTATGGACAGTTGGATGTGAATGGACTCCGCTGTCTGTGTGCACTTGACTGCCCTTCAATCCACCTAGGTGGGGGGGGGGCTGATTCCCCCCCCCCCTTCCGTGTGTGTGTGTGTGTGCGTGTGTGTGTGTGTGTGTGTGTATTTATTTTTATTTTTTTTTATTTTTGACACTCTCTCTTTTTGCAGGTTAAATTTGAGGTTGGTGTGTGTACACCTGCTGGTCACCTGGGTGAATGGAGGGTCCGATCAGGTCCGCCTAAAAAACTGATAGGTGGACCGTTCGTGTGAAAGGGACATTATTGGGGATGTGCTACAATGGTAGGACGACAAGTTTCTTCAGGAGGGATGCGCTGTGATGGAGGGGTGGGGGATGAGGTGGATGGAAACTGATGCACTGAGATGAATGGCATGCGTTTGAGTAAAGATGTGCCTTGATAAAGGAGGTGAGCTGGTCAGGAAGGGTTACACTGCAATGAGGTTTGCTAGAGAGGGATGAGCTGTGTTGGGAATGTGAGTTGGATGGAGATGGATGTGCTGTGATGAGGAGCAGTATCTGAAAGGGTTGAGAAAATTTAATTTCATACAATGCCATGAAATACTATTTGCATTCCTTCTAAATTTCCTCTGATTGACAAACTCAGGACAGGGAGGATTCTAATGCTTTAGAGACATCATATGTATCTCTTGAATTAAAATCCTATTACCTGCTTGTATGCCCTGAGCTATGTGCACAGCTCAGTGTACATATTTCAGCAATGCCAAAATGAATGACCTGCGCATGCACAGGAGTGACATCATCTCAGTCGGGTCAATGAAATTGGCCAAAGATCAGTACCCGGAAGCCTATTCAGCCGATGATGATAGCGGTCGGTGGGGAGCTCTAAGAGACCACAGCACTGGATAGAAGGGGAGTATAGTTCCGCTTTAGGGTGGATTCATACCATGTCTGTTGCATGTAGTTTACATTGAAGCACATTAAATGCACTTTAAAGGGTAAACACAACATTTCATATTCCTGATATGGGCCTGCTATACCATATACTTGTTTTAGTGCTGGTTCACACCATAGAAACACAGTTTAGATTCATTTCTATATGCACATTTTTTACGCATTCCGGTGTGTTTTTGATTCCTTCTGGTTCTTCTTTTACCCTCCCTTTTTTTTCAACTTAAATAAGGACATGTGCGTTCTGATTCGTTTTAATGCGTTCCAGTACAGTTTGGTGCAGAAAAAATGCAGCTTGTTCTACCTTTTCTCAAAACCATCTTCCAGGACAGCCCTTGAGATGTAGATCTCCTCCCTCTGGGACAGGAAACACATAAGCCCAGAACTTTAAAAGGTGTACCTCCAAGGCCTCCCTCTTCAGTATTCGTGTTTCCTCCGGAAAGGTTAGGATGCACATCTAAGAACCTGTGTGGAAGCCCTTGGCACAAGGGCAGTGCTGATAGCTCCTGATTTAGAAAGTTACCTCCTCCTCGCCTTGCACAATCACTCCATTAGAGAATAGGAGTGGGGCTGCGCTCTTGTTGCCTTCAAATCCTCAGGGGAGAGAAGCCCACTGATTTGGTGTCCAGCTGACACAGCTGAAGAATCCTGGCCAGCTCGGCGTCCTCCACTGGGCGGAAAGGTGAAGTTAATTGTGACTTAAGGTAGGTGGAGTAGGCTGCTCTCCAAGCTGGTTTCCTGGAAATTCCGGCTGGAATTACATAATCAGTGGGCGCCGGGGACTCGTGGTTCCGGTCTCCACGGTGGTGCAGGCAGCAGTGTTCTCGGGCGGTCGGTGCTGTGTGATGGAAGACCTAGCAGAGGCTATGGCCATCTCACTACAGGAATGGAATGGA